TAGACTGGAGTGGCTTGCCATTTCCTCCTCCCAGAGTTTGAGCTCACATCTCCTGCATCTCCCGCCTTATTAGGCAGATTCTTTACCAGCATGGCACCTGGGAAGCCCTTAAAAGCTCTTACAAAACACAGGATAACTTTCAAAAACTAAAACCATTTTAAAACATTTATCTCATTGGTGTTTCACCCTTTTAACATTTTGATTTTTGTAGATTTTATAGTGCACATAATAATTTTAGTGGAATACTTATATAATCACATAAATTAAAATATGTTAATGAAAAGATATTCAAAATCACTAATTATTATTGAAATACAAATCAAAACTACAATGAAGGATCACCTCACACTGGTCAGAAATGACCATTATTAAAAGGCCTACAAATAACAAGTGCTGTGGAGGGTGAGAAAGGGGAACCCTCCGACACAGCTGATGGGAATGTAAGCTGGAAGAGCCACTATGGAGAACCATACGGAGGTTCCTCAATAAACGAAAAACAGTTACCATGCGATCCAGCAATCCCACTCCTGGGCATTTATCTGGGCAAAACTAATTTGAGAAGATATATGCACCCCAAGGATCATAGCAGCACTATTCACAACAGCCAGAACATGGAACCAACCTTAAATGTCCATCAACAGAGGAAGAGAGAAAGAAGATGTGGTGCACATAGACAGTGGAAGGTTACTCAGCTATAAAAAGAAAAAGAAAAAATACTGCCATTTGCAGCAACACTGATAAACCTAGAGATTGTCATACTGAGTGAAGTAAGTCAGACAGAGAAAGACAAATCTAAGATATCACTTATATGTGGAATCTAAGAAAGGGTACAAATCAACTTACAAAACAGAAGCAGACTCAGAGACATAAAGAACAGACCTATGGTGGCCGAGGTGGAGGGGAGGTGAAGAGGGAAGGACTGGGAGTTCGGGATTAGCAGATGTGAGCTACTGTATACAGAAGGGATAAATGACAAAGTTCTACTGTATAGTACAGGGAGCCATGCTCAATATCCTATAATAAACCATAGTGGAAAAGAAAAATAGGCAATAAACAACAAAAATAAAGCTGAAAAAATATGTACACGTGCTGAAAATGTGTTGGCTTTGCCGGCAGAGGTAGGAGTTCAGAAGATTGGAGATCGTGGCTAGAAAGACTCTCCAGGACTTTTTATGGTCCCAGAAAGAGACTGGGGGAAAGTGATGGCAAGCTGAGGCAGAAGCTAACCATCCAATGAGGCTGTGGTAGAAAAGGCACCTCATGCCATGTCTGAATACCCTGCAGTTCTTCTGTCTTTCTCCCTGATGTGATTGACTTTCTTCTTTTCTGAGTTAGTTGAAAGCAACTCCTTGCAGCTTACTATCTGGCAAGTAAAAACTCTTTGGTCAAATGATAAAGAGTTTGAGTTTCAGAGTCTGACAGGTCGGGGTTCGCATCTCAGTTCTGCCACTTTCTAGTAAGTTACTTTGCCTCTCCCACCCTGTCTGTTTTCATCTGTAAAGTGTGGATAATGCAGAATCTACATTCTGTGGATAATGCAGGGCTTCCCTGGTAGCTCAGTGGCAAAGAATCTGCCTGCCAATGCAGGAGACACGGGTTCAATCCCTGATCCGGAGAGATCCCACGGGCCGCAGAGCAACTAAGCCACGACCGTTGAGCCTGTGCTCTGGAGCCTGGGAGCCACAGTGACTCAAGCCCATGAACCCTAAAGCCTGTGCTCCGCAACAAGAGAAGCCACAGGAATGAGAAGCCCAAGCACCACAACTCAAGAGCAGCCCCCGCTCACCACAACCAGAGAAAAGCCCTCGCAGCAACAAAGACCCAGCACAGCCATAAATAAACATTTCTTTAAGTGTCTGGCATACAGTAGGTGGCCAATAAACACTAGCTGTCACTATTGTTAGAAATTATAGTTATCATTTCCCTTGGGCAACAGGATTTTTTAATTCTTTAATTCACTGACACGTTTCCTTATCCTAAAAATCTCTTTTCTGCAGGTCAGCAGAAATAACTCAATCTAAGCCCTTAAAGAAGCTTTACTGTTTCTTTGAGAGTTAATCAAATTTCTTTTTCAATAAAAAATAAAACAAGAGGAGAATGGAAATAAATGGGAAAGGAGAGCAGATAACAGGTGAATCCTAGAGAGGGGATAATGAAAGTGAAAAAGTGAGAGTTGCTCAGTCATGTCCGACTCTCTGCGACCCCATGGACTCTACAGTCCATGGAATGCTCTGAGCCAGCATACTGGAGTGGGTAGCTGTTCCCTTCTCCAGGGGATCTTCCCAACCCAGGGATCGAACCCAGGTCTCCGGCATTGCAATCAAATTCTTTATCATCTGAGCCAGCAGGGAAGCCCAGAGAGGGGATAATAGAGGAGTGGTATTTAGCATTGCAGCTACATTTATTAGATGCACCACGTCCCTGCTGGATCAGACAGTAAGAATTTGCCTGCAATGCAGGAGACATGGGTTCAATTCCTGGGTCAGGAAGATCCCCTGGAGAAAGGAATGGCTACCCACTCCAGTATTCTTGCCTGGAGAACTCCTTGGGCAGAGGAACCTGGTGGGCTGCAGTCCATGGGGTTGCAAAGAGTCAGAAACAACCGAGCAACTAACACTTCAGGGCTTCCCTGGTGGCTCAGTCGGTAAAGAATCCACCTGCAATGCAGATGTGGCTTCAATGCCTGAGTCAGGAAGATTCCCTGGAGAAGGAAATGGCAACCCACTCCAGTATGTTTGCCTGGGAAATCCCATGGACAGAAGAGCCTGGTGGGCTACAGTCCATGGGGTCGCAAGAGTCAGACAGGACTTAGTGACTAAAACACCACTACCGGTTATTTATGAAACATGAAATGATAGGTGGGTGGATGGATGGATGGATGAATGGATTGAGGAATAGAAGGATGGATAGAAAGATGGAGGACTAGACAGAGATATAGATCAGTAGATATGTGCATGACATACGGATGGATGGGTGAACAAATGGAAGATGGATGGGTGAGTGGGAGGTTGGATGGATAGAAACATGGACAGACCAATGGATGAATGAATGGATGGGAGGACAGACAAGGAGATGGATGAATTGATAGATGCATAAAAAGATGTGTGAGTAAAAAAAAAAAAGATGCGTGAGTAAATGGATGGATGGATGGATGGGAGGATAGACAGGGAGATGGATGAATTGATAGATGCATAAAAAGATGGGTGAGTAAATGGATGGATGGATGGATGGGCAGATGGAAGAATGGATGGATGGGTGGATAGAAACATGGCAGGTGAAGGGAGGAAGGGATGGGGAGATGGATGAATGGATAGATGGATAGGAAGATTGCTGAGTGGATGGATGGATGGGTGGATGGATGAATGGATGATGGATGGTCCAGTAGGAAGATGGGTGGGTGAGTGGCTAGATGTATGGATGGAGAGCAGCGAATGTCAAAGGGAAGACAGCGCGGGCAAAAAAAAAAAAAATAGTTTGGTTACCCCATTACCTTTCTATTACACGTGATGCCTAAACATGCCACCAGATGTCAGTCTAACCTCAGGAAACCATATCAGAGTTCGCATTGGAGCCACCTTTTCCACCTTACCTGAAGCTCTCTGATTCAAAACAAACACTGGCTCATTTTGATAATAATCAAACCAGTCAATCCTAAAGAAAATCAACCCTGAATATTCATTGGAAGGACTGATGCTGCAGCTGCAGCTCCAAAACTCTGGCCACCTGATGAGAAGAGCTGACTCACTGGTAAAGACCCTGATGCTGGGAAAGATTGAAGGCAGGAAGAGAAGGGGACGGCAAAGAATGAAATGGTTGGATGGCATCACTGAGTCAATGGACGGGAGTGTGAGCAAGCTCCAGGAGATACTGAAGGACAGGGAGGCCTGGTGTGTTGCAGTGCATGGGAATGAAAAGAGTCGGACATGACTGAGCAACTGAACATTTTGATAATACAGTTTTCATTGCATTCTGTAATTATACTTCCCTCATCACTACACCCAGAACCCAACTGGCATTTATAATCCAGTTCCCCCTTCAAGCAGAAAATGGGGAGGAGGGGCACGGGTTGGGGGAGGCCAGAGCCTGAGCCTACTGATGAAGTTGCTAGTTTCCAAGAGGTCAGACCTGGCAGGCGTGAGGTGGGTGGGAGAAGGGATTTCTGGGGCCACAAGAGTGATTAGCAACTCTATCAGCCTCAGCTCCAATAGCCTTGAATTCATATTCACATCCTACTTGCCTGCTGTCTGCCCAAGAATCCTCCCAGCTCTACACCTTGGCCAAAGAAGCTCTTGAGAAAAAGAGAAAAAAGCACCGGCTCTCCCTCCGTATGGGGGACTGAATCTTCTTCACACAAACCGCTTTTAATCCTCAAACAGCCTGGAAAGATTTCAAGGTGGAAAGTGAACCCAGCGGAGCCACCTCTGACTCCACTCCTCCATCCAATGATGGCTCCCAGGAGAAGACCCACTTTCAGGGTCACTGGCCAAGAGAAAGGGAACCCGGGATCAGAGTCACCACATCCTTCCAACCCCCCACCCCCACTCCCACACTTTGCAGGTTTAGACTGAAGGCTTGAGGTAAAAGTGTGATCCCCACTTTCCACCCCTCACCTGCCCACCCATCCCCCCACCCCACCCCCACCCCCGAGAAAGTAGCATTTCTCAGCCTGGCTCGGGAAGGTCCCTCCCAGGGGAAATATCTGCCGACCCCTCTGAGCGGACTCCCGGGCCGGATCCGAGCACGGCCCGCCACGCCCACAATTAACCCCTCTGTTGCCGCACCCGTGCGTGCCCCGGGGGTTCACCTAAGGGGCTCGGCAGCATTCGATCCGCTGGCAGGAAAGGAACTGGAGACTTCAGCAACCAGCCGTAAGAGTGGCCCCCCTCCCCCGCCCAGAAGCGTGTCAGAAATAGGCGTTTCCTGACCCCAAGAGACCCCGGTTTCCTGCTGCCCCCCATCCCGGGAGGCTGGGGGTCGGTCGCCCACCACCCCGGGCATACTCACTCCCATTCTTTTCTTCTGGCCTGCGGCGTGCTGTGAATTTTGTGTGCCTGGTGGGCCAAGATGACATCGCGGTGGTCCACCACGCCGCCCCGTCGCTTCAGAGGGGGCCCCTCGCCGCCGCCGCCGCCGCCGCCGCCGCCGCTCATCAGGTGGGACCGCGTGTCCGGCGGGACGCGGGCTGTGCGCGCGGGGGCGCCGTCCGGACCTGAGGGGCCCAAGCCGCGGTCGTACAGGGCATCATAGTAACTGCGGGGCGAGAACATGGGGTCCAGGACCCGGGAGGACTTCGACATCCATGGGCCTCACTCAGAAATCCCAGGGTCTTCTGCCTCCAGCCCGGGAGGAAACTACAGGAGCAGACAGGAGAGAGCGAGAGAGAGGAAGGGTAAGGGAGACGCAGAGAGAAGGGCGCTCAGGGGGACCAGGACCGCACAGGCGACCAGCCTCCTTCACAGGAAGTCAAAAAACACCCCAGGACCGGCCCAGCGGGAATTAGTATTTCCTTGGCAACTCAGGCCTGGGAAGCCAGTTCTTAGGAGCTGCCCGGCAACCAAGGCAGCGCCGTGGAGCAAAAGACCACGGAGGCTGTGTCGTAGGACACTCGCTCCCCTTCACAGGTGCCGGCCTACGAGGGTGGGACTTGTGATTTCTCAGCATCTCAGCGTTCTCCTCTGCAAAATGGGCCGCCAGGAGCCTACTTGTTCATTCTCCTCTGGTCCCTGGTTCCCCTGAGCTCCAGAGTCACTTAGAAAACTCAAAGGGGGAGTTTAAGGGTCGCTTTTAAAACCCACACAGGATATGGCCATCTGTGAGTGAGCCCTGCCCTTTGCACCTTGCCTAGTTTTTTAAAAAGAAAACGGGGACTTCCCTGTGGTGGACACTTCCACTGCAGGGGATGTGGGTTCGATCCCTGGTCTGGGAACTCAGATCCCACATGCTGTGAGGCATAGCCGAAAAAATAAAATTTAAAAAATCTAATAAAAGAGAAAAGGGACAGAGTTCTTGCCCTTTATGAATGCATCAGGTGGTTAAACCCCAGAGGGACTGAGAGCCGGGAAAAAGCTTTGTCTCCATTTCATTCACTTATTCACTCAACAAACGCTGAGTAGGCAGCTGCTGTGTGCAGGCCTTGCGCTGGTTGCAGGGGACACAGTGTGAATGAGACAAACAAATGTCACCCTTATGCTGGGATGGAGGTTCTGGAGGGGGAGGCAGACCATGAACAACATAAATACCTCATGCGGAGACTGGGAGTTGAAAAGTACTGTGGAGGGACTTCCCTGGTGGCCCAGTAGATATGAATCTGCCCTTGAATGCAGGGGACACCTGTTCGATCCCTGGTCTGAGAAGACTCCAGATGCTGCGGAGCAACTAAGCCCCTGGGCCGCAACTACTGAGCTTGTGCTCTAGAGCCTGGGAGCCGCCAATACTGCGCCCACTGTCTGCAACTATGGAAACCCATGCGCCTAGAGCTCATGCTCCAAAACAAAAAGAAAGAAAGGGAAGTCGCTCAGTCGTGTCCGACTCTTTGCAACCCCAAGGACAGTAGCCTGCACCAGGCTCCTCCATCCATGGGATTTTCTAGGCAAGAGTACTGGAGTGGGTTGTCATTTCCTTCTCCAGGGAATCTTTTCTCCAGGGAATCTTCCGGACCCAGGGATCGAACCCAGGTCTCCCACATTGTAGACAGATGCTTTACCGTCTGAGCCACCAGGGAAGTCCACTCCAAAAAAAGAGAAGCCTCAAACAGCGTGAAGCCCAAGCACCACAACTAAAGAGCAGCCCTCTGCTCGCGCAACTAGAGAAAAGCCCAAGCAGCAACGGAGACCCAGCACAGCCAGATGAATAAATACAATTTTTAAAAAGTGCTGTGGAGGGCAATTCAGCAGGAGAGGTATATTCATATGCTGGAGCTGCCGTAACAAAGTACCACATGCAGGGTGCCTTAAACAACAGAAATTTATTTCTTTCCTGTTCTGAAGGCTGCATGTTGGAGACCAAGGGGTCAGCAAGGCTGGTTTCTTCGGAGGTCTCTCTCCTTGGCCTGTAGACTGCCATCTTCTCCCTGTGTCTTCTCACGGTCTCCCCTCTGGGTATGTATGTGTCCTAATGTTCTTCTAATTTTACTTTGCATGCGTGCGTGCTAAATTGCTTCAGTCGTGCCTGACTCTTTGCAACCCTATGGACTACAGCCCACCAGGCTCCTCTGTCCATGGGATTCTCCAAGCGAGAGACATGGATTGTCATGTGCTTCTCCAGGGAATCTTCCCAACCCAGGGGCCAAACCCGAGTCTCTTACATTTCCTGTATTGGCAGCCGGGTTCTTTACCACTAGCATCACCTGGGAAGCCCCTATTTTACCCTAACTGCCTCTTTTTTCTCTCTCATTTTTTTTTTCTTTTTTCTTTCCTCCTCCAAATGATGGGAGAACTTAAATTTTTTTTAAAAATCCTCTTTTTAACCTGGCCCTTTCCCCCACCACTAGAAAGCAGGTTTATTGCTAAAAACAGTTCATTTATTTGAGCATATTCTTTTTAGGCAACTTTACTTTTTCCACTGTCGTAGCACCACTCGGAATTTCTCACTGTTAGTCTTCTCTTTAAACACTTTTTTTTTTTTTTTTCAGAAGAATCTGCATCACCATCTCTATTTCTGCTTCTTTATCCTCTCCCATTAGAAGAGCCAGTGTATCTCCCACTTTCTCCCTTCTTCTCGTCTTCCATCATTTTTCCCCTGTTCAGCCTGAGTCCACCTTTGTAGCGTTCACTTTGTTTCTTCCACTGTCTGGGTCTGGCTTCAGGATACCATCCTATCTACTTTCACCTAATGAAGATTGTCTTTGACCACCCTGGGTTCGTCCTCAGGCTTCTCTTCCTGCTCACTCATCTCATTTATGGTCACACTCTTCATCAGAGTCCCCTTCATCTTCTAATTTTTTCATCATCTTTTTAGTAGATTTGTTAGAGCTTATATGACTTTTGAGTCTTACGGAAGACGGGAATATATATTCTGAAGATATTAAAAGCCTTGGGGGAACTTCCCTGGTGGTCTAGTGGTTAAGACTGTCTTCCAAGGTAGGAGGTGTGGGTTCAATCCCTAGTCAGTGAGTTAAGATCCCACATGCTTTGCAACCAAAAATTAAAATAAAATAATACAGAAGCAATACTATAACAAATTCAATAAAGACTTTTGAAAAACATGGCCCACATTAAAAAAAATTCTTTAAAAAACTTTAAAAAAAATAAACATAAAAGCCCTGGAGATCTCAGTGAGATGATGTTATAAAAGAGTATTTTATGGGAATTCCCGGGTGGTCCAGTAGTTAGGATTCCACACTTCCTGCACTTCCACTGCAGGGGGCCAGGTTTCAATCCCTGGTCAGGGAACCAAGATCCTGCAAGCTTTGAAGTGTGGCCAAAAAAAAAAAAAGTTTTATAATATCATGCGTTTAACTTGGTACTAGAAAAATAGAAGTATCAATTACAGGAAAGCACAGTGTCTGTGTGAAGGTGTCTGCAGTCTCTGATCCAGACATCTGGCTTTCTTAAAATACTGCTGGGCAATCTGACACTAGTCATACCCGTGGTGCATATGACCTTCCCAGGTCCTCAAAGTCAAGCGAAACTGAACACCAGCATCCTTGGGCTTTCAACCTGGATCTCCAGCCAGCAGGAGCAGCCAGGCCCGGGGGCAGACAGCCTCAGCCCACCAGGTTCCTATGGCCCTACAGCACCCACCTCCAGGGTCTACAGGGCATCCCAAGCTGATCAGGCCAAGGCAGGACACGAGGGATTCATGTGGAGACCTAGCAGGAGTGTGGCCAGGGGAGAGGAGCCTTAATTATGTCTTTAAAGGCTCTATCTCCAAATATGGTCCCAAGCTGGGACTTCCCTGGCAGTCCACTGGTTAAGACGCTGCCTTCCAACGCAAGGGGTGCAGGTTCCATGCCTGATCAGGGAGCTAAGATCCCACATGCAGTGGGGCCAAAAAACCAAAACATAAAACAGAAGCAATATTGTAACAAATTCAATAAAGACTTTAAAAATGGCCCATGTCAAAAGAAAAAAAAAAATCTTAAAAAAAATACAGTCACATTCTACTGTGGATTAGAACTGCACCATATGAATTTGGGAGCAGGAGACACAATTCTGCTTACCACAGAGGAAGAGAGGAAGTGGTGGGTGGGCTGGTTATTGTAAATAGGGAGTCAGAGATGGCCTCTCTAAGGAAGTAACATCTGAACAGAGGGACCTGGAGGACTTGAAGCAGTAGCCACGCTGGGTATCTGAGAGAAGAGTGTTCCAGGCAGAGAACAGCATGTGCAAAGGTCCTGAGGCAGGGCTGTGTGTGATTTGCTCAAGGAACAATAAGGAGGCCTGAGTAGCTGTGAGTGAGGAGAAGTGTAACAGGGATGAGGGTGGGGAGGTGATGAAGCAGATCACACAGGACCTTGTGAGCCATGGGAAGAAATTTTTTCTTGTTCCTTTTAGAAGTGAGATGGCCCATGGTGTTCAGATCCACAGCTAACCCAACAGCATATTTTCAACCCCAAACTGAGTTTTTCCACCTAACAGCCCCCCATCACTAGCCTCCCAGTGTCTGTCCAAGAAAAGCAAATCCACAGGAAGGCCAGCCTGAATGACATAGAATTAGGAGCCTAAATCCCATTCATAACCATTGCAAGTCACCTCAACATCCAGAGGTGTAAGGAGATGGTGCAAAGAAACGGCAGTGGGAGCGGAGGCTTATCTCTCTGCTGACTATTTCCTCTTCCTCTGCTTGAAGGCTTCCAAGAAGTAAGAATGTTCGCTCTCCTAAGTAAACCTCTCCTAAGTAGATCAACTCAATATCAGTTTAATGAACGCTGTTTCCCTCTGGGGAGGTTTCTTTTTTCAAATCTTGTAACTAATGGAGTTTAATAGGCCTATCTTCATGACGCCTTTAAGTTTCAATTTACTCCCATGAAAACTTAAATCGCCTACGATCGTGAATTTATAAAGCCTTTTGTGTTTTTCTAAATACATTCCCTTCGCATTAAAAAAAAAGCCTTTTATTCCTTTTATAAGCCCTTATGCCTCGAAGGCATTTTCCTTCACATTTTATAGAAATAAAACTGAAGACTGGGACTTCCCAGGTGGACCAGTGGCTAAGACTCCCCACTCCCAATGCAAGGGGCCTGGGTTTGATCCTCGGTCAGAGAACTAGATCCCACATGCCAGAACTGAAAAAGAAGAGTTTGCATGCTTGCAACCAAAAAAGATCC